AACGGTAGATTGTGTGTCAGTTTTACTGAAATGCTTTAATAAATGAAAGACGTTGGTGGAGCTGCTTAAGGGGGCTGGCTACTTTTTTGTGTAAATGTGTTCACATGCAAGTACACGATCACTTGTTTCACATGTGCTCAACAATAAGTTGCTATCAATTCTGACATGCAGCTGGCATTTTTCCCCTTCTTTCTCAATTTTTTCATGAGCAACGGTAGATTGTGTGTCAGTTTTACTGAAATGCTTTAATAAATGAAAGACGATGATTTAATAGGTCTTACCATTATTCAGCCTGAGTACTAAATCTTTTACTATTAAATGTTCTCCTAATCATCTCCTGGAGGAGTTCAAAGTTCCAGTGATTCATTCAGGATCTGTTCCTACTTATTAAGAATCAAGTCCAGTAAAGGAGCTGAGAGGAAACCATAAGAGTTAGAAACCCAGTTCTCTACTGACAAATCTCTTTTTGAGAAACAGCTTACAGTCCATTCATTGGTTAAACAACAAGGCTAAATTCACCTCCTGAGGCTTCTTCACTTCATTAGACTATTAGAATAGAAAACTATCACACCTCTAAACTAATTTCTGAAATTGGGTGTAACACATACATTTATAAGCACATTGCAATATTCTACCATTGCAAGCAGCTGTTAATTTTACATACCTCAATAAACAAGCTTTTTTAAGTCTCAAGTGCTTTAAAAAGCTAGCATTCAGAAAAAAAAAACCCACAAACCAGTGGTGAAATGGCAGTAAACAAGAAATTATGCATTTAAAATTCCATTTTATATATTGGTCATACTAGAAAGAAAATATGGAAGTGTTTTCATTTTTATATGCAATTGAGAATTCTTATTAATTGTACTAAATCTAAATTTCCAGATGAGTACTAATACTAGCAGCAGGTTGGCTCTTTGTCCTATTCTTTGATCCAGGTAACACTGCAGCATACTTTTGTATGTCACACTGACTACCAGCCAGCCCTGTCCTCAATGCTTTGTACAGAGCAGTAGCTCTTCTACTCAAGAATAACACATCACCAGCCATCACAAAATTATTTTGGATGAGAGCAAAGACTGACAAACATTTCATTCCAAACCAAGTTTCTCTTCCTATTTGCCTAAGCAAAGCCAGAAACTGCAACCATGAGGTCCTAAGCTGTGGAAATTGATGAAAAACTAAAGTTGGGACATATCCTCAGGCACAGCCGCTCGTACCAGGTAACACTGCAGCATACTTTTGTATGTCACACTGACTACCAGCCAGCCCTGTCCTCAATGCTTTGTACAGAGCAGTAGCTCTTCTACTCAAGAATAACACATCACCAGCCATCACAAAATTATTTTGGATGAGAGCAAAGACTGACAAACATTTCATTCCAAACCAAGTTTCTCTTCCTATTTGCCTAAGCAAAGCCAGAAACTGCAACCATGAGGTCTTAAGCTGTGGAAATTGATGAAAAACTCTAAGGTTGGTACATATCCCTCAGGCACAGCCGCTCGTGCTTGCCCTCTCCCTAAGATCTACACAACCTAACACTCAACCTTACCCGTGTGTCTGTAGCTCATGCTCTGGGGTTTCATTTTTTAATGTTGCCACCCTGTGGTCATTCATGGCAAAGACAAAGTTTTTCTCCACGAAAATGTAGAAAAATATGTTGGGATTTCAAAGAACTCTTCAGAGTTGAACAAGCTGAAGGATAAAATTCTATCAAAACATTATGCGAGCTAACCCATAATATAAGAACAGTAATCTCCTTCAGTTCTGTAGGAATATTACACCATGACTCCAGTCAAGCCAGAGTCTTCTGTTCATCTCAGCTACAGCATCAGAGCATACATTTCATCAGGCTGAAATAAAATTTCAGCCATGAATTCTTAAGGTCATGCTTCTTTCCCTTTCTGTATGCAAAGGGAATTGACATTCTCTCCTGTTTTAATAATTAAAAATATGTCAAAAAGAAACAATTCAATTTCTAATCAATCTAGCTATCAGTCTTATTTTACAGCTTTTTGCTGTCCTAGAGAAGGACAAACATTCATTTAAGAGCTGTAGCTAGTAATTTTTTTGTTAGGGGCAAAAAAAGGCTACTCAATTAACACATGCTTTTAGTAGTTCACATGAAGTTATTTACTGTTACTATAGACTTGCTTTTGCAATTTTAACTTTCAAGATGCTTGTTTCCAGCTGCTGAGGTACCTGACTGCAACAGCAAGGAGGGGAAAAACATCCCACAAAGACTGACGCCCACAGTTCACTCCAACAGCAGTGTACCCACCCAAAATAAACTAAACCAGCAACATACTTTCTGCCCTCCTGATCTCCCTAAAAGGTCTAATGCAGAATGAGGATTTCAGTAACTTTATTCTGCTCCTTTGTAGTTGTGAAGCCTTCTTCAAGTGCAGTCATTAAGAAAACGAGCTCCCTGACAGCCAGCACACTCCCCCTAAGCATGGGAGCAGGAACAGCCCTAAAACACCCACTTTGTGGTCCCTTCCACCCTGACCCATTCTGGGACTTTGTTTTTGTCTGAAATTTGAAGCAACACACCACCATGTCAGGACTAAGTTTTTGGGGGATGTGAAAAGGACAGCTGATACTCTCACACTGCACACAAACACATTTATTTCAGCCTAACTTGACGTGGTAATTTTTAAAGTTTTCCATCTACCTGCTGAAGAGTGAATCTCTTACAGGTTTACACTGTGAATATTCTCTGCTGGTTCCATTGTTACAAGTTCTACAGAGTGACATGAACAATAATCTGCCATATTTAATCTGTAAATCTCTGTATGAGGATGTGGATGATTAAATGAAAAGATCAAATGTCAGATACTTCCCTTTCTTCATTAACACAAAACCCACCTAATTCCATCTGCATAGGTAGGCCAGTTGAGCATCCTACATTCTGCAGCATCAAGAGTTCACATAATTTTAAGAAATTTGCATAGAAAGAAGAATGCAGTGAGCTTTTTACAAATCAGAAGGACTCTTAATATCACAAAAGTAATAGTAGGTTTCTTTTTAGCTGAAATCAGGTTAATAACTGGCTCTCCTCTCATGCATTTTTATCAACTGTAAGTTTTTAAATATCTTCCTAAACCCCCAGTCATCATGAAGGTGCACTGACCCTCAGCTTTACCAAGCTGTAACTTCAATTACACTAGTCTGTGACAAAGTTAATTAGAATATACTTCCACAGCAGTAGAATATAGTGGCAATATAAATGAGAACATAGAAAAATGAGATCATGTGACAGTAAAAAGGACTTTAAGAATTAATTTGAAAACTACACAAAACAATCCATCACTGTTAGAACATCAAATCCTTAACATTTTCATTACTTATTTCTGTAATGTCACCAGTAAACAGGCTCCTGATACTCACACTCAGCTCTGTCTTGGAATTTATTTAGCACCTTGCATTCACATAATTCATTCTTTATTTCCACCTATTTATCAGCCCTTTTCATTGATATAGAATAGAAAGCCTCATTCAAAGCACTAATGAAGGGTACCTATCATGTACAGCTGATTAAACTGATTGCTGAATGCAAATGAACAGCCAGCCAAAGCTCTGCTCCACATAACTGGGAGAATTGGATACACTGGGAAAAGGAGGGTACAAGTAAAAGGTTTTGGGATTTGAGGTCCTGGACTCAGATGGTCTGAATTCAATTGTTTTGCCAGCAGATTTAGGATAACAGATTTATCAAAAATACTAGACATTCCTGAAACACTGTGGCTACAAATTTCTACAAAATATTATCAACACTGCAGAAAATACCATATATAATGTACAGAACTCCAGAAGTATCCTTTAATAGTCATTTCACAAATTTTGACAACAGGTAACGGCAGTCATTTTATGCCTCCCCTTTCCTCTTTCTTTCTGAAATGTTTTTTTCCATTCTCATAACAGTACATTTGTCTCAGGGGAGCACTGTACTTTCATACAATAACACTGCATTCTAGAAGTTATTATTTTCATTTGTTAATGTTTCTGCCAACGTATATATTCTGTACACAGTGATATGATGGATGCCCTATCCAGAATCCAGCTATATTATTAGATGTACAACGTGTTGATATCACCAACTTTGGAGCAAACAGGCAGCTGAAAGCAAAATGGAAGTAAAAGGAGGGAAAAGCATCTGGTGCATTGAGCAGGCAATGAGACAAATGATAGAAGTTTAGTGTTCCCAGCAAAAATATTTTAAAGCAATGCTATCAAATTGAATTGTTACTTCAACAAGGAAAGGAGAAAGGCAAAGGACACTTGGTGAACATTAGCAAAAAAATCTGGCTTTAGTGGTGGACGACAGTGATCTACAGTTCTGCATAATAGGCTCTTCGCTCTATAAATCTGCTCCACTCCACAGCACTTCCCCAAGTAGGTGATATATTTCTAAAAAGTTCCATCTAAATGTCACCCTGAAAGCTTGCCACGCCGAGGACCATTCTAAATGTCAGAACAGTCTCATGCGACCTATGACAGAATTTAGGATTAGTCTGTGCCACATCTTCCTAAAACGAATTTCTAAGACTAAGTTATGCCTTTGGAATTTGGATTCTGATCTGCGCTGTTATTCAGCCTTCCTGCCTTCAAAAGTACAGACTTTATTTTTCAGTTTATCTCAGTTTTCAAGACTCAATACACTTGCAAAAAGCAATGAGGAATTTTACAGTAGAACACATCCTTCTGATATCCTTTAATAGAATTAATGTGAATCATGGCTGCATTTTGGATTTTAGTCTTTGCACAAACACCAATTCTTTTACAGAATGCAGAGAAAAATAAATTCCATTAGCTCCACGGGACACAGAATTGAACATGAAGAGATACAAAAAGGCTGGATCCCTGTAGCAATCATAACACAACAATCAGACAATCTTTAAACACCGTTAAAGAAAAAAGTGAATTAAATTCATTAGACATTTAAGTTGGACCTAACCAAGATAGAGAGGCATTAAAATGAAGGCCTTGTATACAAAAGGGGAAGAAAAAAAATCACAGAAAGAATGAAATAAACTTTCACAGTTCATATTCATATGAAGGACACACATGCATTAATTTATAGGAGACCACCACCTGGTTTTCAATGGATTTATAAAATGATTCACATTATATTCACATTTTAGGGCTCCATTATCATCAGCACCCATTTATTCTTCAGCATCAACTCATTTTATGTCAGTTATTGGAGATCCAAAGTAGGGAGAGCCATTGACAGAGGAATGATTCTTGGTGCATATATAGGATACAAGCTCTGAAGGTTTTCTGTGGTTTGGTGCGTTCAAAACTATTTTATTAATTGTGTGATCAATTGTGTAATTATTTTTTTATTAATTTTATTAATTGTATATCTTTAGAAAGAGGTAAGCTCTAGCTGAAGCTTCACCTTGGAGAAAATTGATGCCATTTTACAAAATTTTTTCATATGACTTGTTAGACACTCAGCAAAAGTACCATTTTCCAGAAGGACAACATAAGTTTAAAAGGAAAAAATTTCATAAATTAAAATGACAGACTAAAAAAAATGCCTTCTGAGCCACATCGCACAAAAATTTATCTAGACTACAAGAATGTTGTATTACATAACTTAAACCGTATAATCCAAGGGTAAATCTTGATGCACATCTCAAGAAGCACAGTTGGGGATTATGCAATAGGCAGTTCCAGCTGCAGCAGCATCTGGCTCACAACTACAAAACTATACAAATGTAAAACACGTGGTTTCCTGAAGTATTGTTCTTTTCTTGGAAAAAGTTGTTCAATCTGGGCAAAATAATACAATAATCTAGTCAGTGCTTAATTATTATACAAGATATTCTAAATAAAACATCAAGCTCAGGCTTAAGTAGGACTTGAGGGAACCATAAGCCATATGCTGGCCCTCTGAACCAAAATTAATTTCATCTTAAAGAGTCTATAGGTCATTGTCATAACAGTTTGGATGAGAAAATTGAATTTGGGGCCAGTATTCATCTCATACTGCTAATAGTAGTTCTTATCACTTATTGCTGTAATAAAAGGTAGCCCACAAACTAGAGAGGGTATATGAAAGAGGTTAATAGCACAGTCATCTAAATGTACAGTTAGTACTCTGCCAGATTCACTGCATCAGATTTTATTTAGTGCTACTCTACTCCATCCTGCATTACCAAGTGTAAAATAAATTACATTTTTATAGCACACTGTAACTATTTTATGACTTCTATTTATTAGAAATATTTTTGCTGTTTTCAGATAAAACATATAGAAATACTCAAAAAATGTATGTGTTATTCTGTCATTTTTGTTATACAGTACTTTAAAAATACTTTGAAAACCTTTAAAATTTACTTTGCTTGTTCTGTAGCATACGTTTACTGGGTTAAAGTGATAGGAAATCCCACAAATTCTACCTGGAAATTTCATTGTGTTACTACAGAAATGCTGCCTGTGATGTTTCACAAAGCTTTCAAGATTTAGTTTCTGTACTAAACCAGCAAGTGGCTGCGCTTTACTCACTGTCAGTCAGTGCACCTGATGGATTAGAAAGCTCCACCATCCCAGCTCACCTTAAATACATTAAGCCTTAAGAGAAGTTGAAATCAGCATTTGTGTTTATGCTCAAAGACACCCCAAGGACAGCTCAGTCACTGGTCACAGCCAGCACAGATTCATGAGAAGAAAGTCCTTAAAAAACTCAATTTCCTCTCATGATGAGGTACACTGTGTGACCTGCCCAGGTGATCAAGGGAAGATGGTTGATGAAATTTCTGGATTGCAGTGAAGTTCTGATCCTGTCTCTCCCAGGATCTTTCTGCATAAGAGGTCCACCCCACAGCTGGATAAACACGTCATGGGATGGGTGAGAACTGGCTCCCAGGTCAGGCACACAGGGTTACAGTGAGCATCAGACTGGTGACCTGTCACTAGCAGGGTCCCACAGGGCTCCATCCTCAGCCCTGTTCTCTTCAACATCTTCATAAATGACCTGGACTCAGGGCAGGAAAGGAGACAAAATTTGCCAATGATACTAAATTGGGAGGAGCTGTTGACTCCCTCAAAGTCAAGTGCTGGATTCTGCACCTGGGATGGGACAAACCTGGATTTGCACACACAGTGAGGAAGGAGAGGCTGGAAAGCATCAGGCCAATTTGGATCTGAGTCAGCAGTGCCCTAGCAGCTGTGTTTGGGCATTCTATTTACTGCTTTGATCTCTGGCAAATCTCAGCCATCACACTCCAGTAACCCTTCTCAGCAGGGGGTGAACCCATGCAGAAACTGAGGGAGAGCAGGTTGCAACAGAAGCAGCCAGCATCCCACTGATTCCTATGCTTTCCTCTCCTGGACCTCTTAAAATCACAATCCACATTTCTTCTAGGATACTGTTGGCATAGGCACCTACATATTAACAAGGATACAATCAAATGGGAGGAAGAACAAATATTCTTGTCTTTGCTCTTTTTAATAGTGCCACAAACTAATTCTAGCAGCACAGGAGTACAGCCATGAAAAAGCACATAGAAAGTAAGAAGCTAAAAAAAAATTGCTCTCAAAAAATTGACATAAAGCTTGTACAGACTTTCACTGGGATTAGTTCATTCTCAGATATCACTTGACCCTCCTGATGCTCTCTGGGTGTTATGTGACAAGACACGCACAGAACTACTCTAACCTGTCAAGTTTAACTTGGGAAGATGTTACTGAAATGTCCCTGCTCATCAATCCATGGCATTCGTCTACCTGGGGACCCAAAGTCTGAGTTACAGGTCACATTACTATACATGAGCACATGATCCATGCAATAGAAAGCATGCAGCCAAACTACTGGAAAATAACCTCCTCCCACCTCCAAGAGAAAAACTGAACAAGTGACAGATAACTGACAGTCCAGATCATGTACCATATATTTTATGCAACTTTTTTTGTTGTTGTTGGATCAGTATGCAGGTTTCAAACATTTGCAGGTAAAATCTTCAGTATTTTTGAAAGGGAACAGCTAAAAGAAACAGGAATCATTGCAAAGTACATCTTCCATATGGTGTAACAGGAGCCATACAACAACTGATCTGGGATCACCCAAAACTGTCTTTCCTTTTAAACACTGTGAAAACAGAATATACACACCAGATGACTGCACACCTCTGTTCAAAGCAGCAACTTCAATCTCACTGCCCCAGCACATGCCACACTGGCCAAGCTGTGGGCTGTAGTCAGGTACTTTCTCCCTCACACCTCTGCCCAGGTTTTTCTGTGAAAACATCTGTCTCACTTTGATACAATCTTTTCAAAACACACTGATTTGCACCACAAGGCTTTTTCATACTAAACCACTCTATTTGCTATTGAGGTTTAAATTCCCAGCTGGTTGGGGGGCAGAGGGGTACATTTGAACTCAGTACTTGGATTTGCAGGAAAATATTTGCATGCTAATTTAAGGATGGGATTAGGAAGAGCTGGGGGAATCTGGTTTTGTTGGGTTTTTACCCTGCAGGTACTGTCAAGACTTGGAGACCCAGAATAGTCAGGTCTCTATTCCATCACCTATTTTCAAATCCAAGGAACTCCAATACTTAAGAGGAATATTTTTACTGGAGAAAAAAAGGAGAAATTCCATGCTCTTTTCAACCAAGAAAGCACAAAATCTCTTTTGTAGAGGCTGATGTTTGAGGAGTAGTGACTGCATTTTCCTGAGAGGCTAAATGCTGCCTGCTGGCCATGCTCCTGACAAAGCAGCAACTCCAGCTTACTCAAGGGAAAAAACCCAAACTGTGCCAAGATACCAATAATTGCAAAGTGGAGGCAGGTAACTAAAGTGAGGGGGGAAATCTTCCCAGTAGGAAGACCAGAGAGGTGAAGCTGAGCCTGGGAAAAGGAGTTTGCTCCTCCTTTTCCTGCAGGACATGGCTGGTCCTACCCCTGACTCCCTGGCAGGCAGAGCCATTCCCAGGAGGCACCTCAGGCCTATTCCTGCCCTGTTGATCATTTCAGGATTTCTCAGGAGAGAAAAGCAACTTTCCTACCTGTACAAAAAAGTCATTTCATCTCAAACATTTTCTTTAAAAGTGTGATCTTTTTTAAAAAATCTCTTTGCTTTTCTCATCAATTTTTATATTCCCTTAACTTCTTTTTATAGTCCTCCCAGGCTTTTCTTAAATCTTTCCATCACACAATTTTTTTCTCTCTTATCTTCAATTTTATTTTTCATGGATTGTTCATCCCCCTTGGCTTTTTCCCCCCTGCCTTCCTACCCATACTGTAGTTACAGCTCCATAACACACATCACCAGTGGGCCACCATTAACTCATCTTTCAATGCTTTGCTTCCCTTCTGTGTTCTTCCTTTATATTCAATAACCACCCAACATTTCACTCTTGAACTTCATCTGTATAGTTCTTTATATTGCTAAAACCAAAAACCCCCAGAAAAACCAAAAAGAACCCACACCACAACTATGTATGTAAAAGCAAAACATAAAAAAAAATTGCAGAAATTATTAATTCAAAAACATTTTAGATTTTCTATTTTAAAATTTAGTTTTAACAGCACTGAATGAGTGTCCTGCCAAGGTACTGCAGTACCTCATGCTAATGACAGGTTGTTTGGACCTCTATGTTATGTATTTTTTAAACTCTGCCAGCTCTGCCCATGGGATGTCTCAGGCCAGCCAAGGGGCTCTGGCCTTTGCTGCCACCAGCCTTGAACATCACCAGAGCTGTCACCCACCATGGCAGCTGTGCTGACCCAACAAGGTGCTTCCCAGCAGCCAAAAAGTGAAAACCAATCAGCTCTGGCTCTCCTTTCAAGTGCTGTGCAAACTATTGATGTACACTTCTAAAGAGTTTTTTATACCTGTTCATACATTGCGTTTTTGGGTGGAACTTGGTCATACACTCAGAGGCCAACCAAGCTTCCAATATCTAGCAGCTCATACTTGACTCCTATTGTTGAGACAGGGAGGAGCAGCAAAAAAATGAATATTCCATCAAATCAATTAGATAAGTACTCTGGTTTTGCTTCTCTCTACTTCTAATTATCCCAGTCTGCCAATGTTGCCAGTGTCAGCACAGCTTCACATACCAGATCATGATAATTAGCAGCACAAACTTCTGATCTCTGATGTAGGAATTCCCACCAATTAACAAGTTAACAGTTAATTAGGCTTAAACAAAAAAAAAAAACAAAAAAAAACACACCATCATCTGGTTGAAATTCTCAATTACACTGTGGTAGTTTAGTTGCAAGGAGCAAGGCAGATGAGGAGCTGTGAAGCCAGGCAGATTGGGAACCCCAGCATCTGGGAGGTGCTGTGAAACAACAGGCAGATAGATGCTGGCCTTACAGCTGATAATGACACCACAGAACTAATTTTCCCTTTCCTTAAAGAAAAGCTCCATCCAGGGCTAGCATTCCAGCTGTATTCTGTGTTTTGTTATATTGATTAAATCAACATCCATCTAAAGGAACAAGCCATCTAAACCACCAGCTATGTAAGACAATTCTTCACAATCAGAAGTTATTTAGCTGGAGATATCTCAAAATACCAAGTATTTATAGTGAAATGTTTAAGGTGCTATGCATTTTTGTAACAGAAGTCAGAGTAAGGCTAAATGAATGCAAGTGGCAAACATTATAAAAAGGCTAATTTATCAGAAGAAATAAGATGGTTTTGGTTTTACTTATAACTTGAAGATTCACATTTGTCAAATGTTTGAAAAACAAAACCATTTTTTTAGTTTGTGAAATCTAACCTCTAAAAAAAAACCAAACAAACAATTACAAGACAA